TACGATAACCTTAAAACGTTTTCAATAATTCAGAACATACGGTTTTGTAGTCAGATACATATGTGGAAAAGAACTAATACGTAATAAATTATTATGTGAAGTAAATAAAGAAAAACATGAAAATAAGAAACAAAAAAAAAAAGCGGGAGAAGAGACAAAAACGTTTTACGTGTTGATTTTTATACAGTTTATTCCGAAGTTTCGTCCTGTGTTATTTTCAAATTGTCAATATTTGTAATTTTAAAAAATCGAAAAATCAAAGAATTGAAAAAGCCAAAAATTGAAATATCGAAAGATTAAAAAATCCGAAAACTGAAAAGTTCCTACATTTTTTTTTATTATTTAAATGTTTAATATCATATCAACCACGAATGGTTACTAGCGAGAGTCGAAAACTTGAAAAATTTAAAAATTTTAAAAATCGTAAGTCGAAAAATGTGAAATTTTTGAAAATCGAAAAATTGAAAAACCAGAAATACAGAAGAACTGAAAAATATAAAAATTGAGAAGTCGAAAAACCTAAAACTTGAAAAACTGAAAAATTAAAATATCGAAAAATTGAAAAATTATAAAACTGAAATTATGAAAAATTGGGCAATCGAAAAATTATCGAAACGTAGAAAAATTCAAAAACTGAAACATCGAGAAATTAAAACCTCAAATGGTCGAAAAATCGAAAATTGGACAAACTAAAAATTGAAAAAGGCCCAAATCAAAAAATCTAAGTCAAAAATAAAAGAAGTGAAAATTTAAAATTAAAAACGTCTATAAAACGAAAAATTAAAAAATCGAAAACTGAAAAATTTTGAAAATCGAAAATTTGAAAAAACTAAAACCAGGAAGGCGAAAAATCGAAAAATCGAGAAATCGATACATCAAAAAATGGAAAATGAAAAATTCAAAAATCTAGAATTTCAAAACTGAAAAATCGAAACATCTAAAAATTGAAATTTAAAATTAAATAGTAATTACGAAGTAAAATTGAAAAATTTTAAAACTTGAACTTTAAAAATCGAAAAATTGAAAAATAGAAACGGTAAATACTCGAGAAATGGGAAAGTCGAAAAATCGAAAAGTTAAGAATTTTGAAAAACGAAAAATTGAAAAATCTAAATTCAGGAAGTCAAAAAATCGAAAGATCGAGAGATCGAAACATCGAAAAATCGAAAAATTCAATAATTCAGAATATAAAAAACAAAAAATTGAAAAATCGGAAAATTGAAGAATCGAAAAACTGAAAAATTGCAAAATGACGAAAAATCGAAAAATTCAAAAAGTGAAACATCGAGGAAACGAAACATCAAAATAACAGGCCAAAATCGAAAAGTTAAAAACTGAAAAATTTAAAATTAAATAGTAATTAAAAAGTAAAACTGAAAAATTTAAATCAAATAAAAAGAAAAGTTGAAAAAACGAAGTAGGAATTGAAATATCCCAAAACGGAAACATTGAAAAATCGAGAAATCGAAAAGTCAAAAATTTTGAAAAACGAAAAATTGAAAAATCTAAATTCAGGAAGCCAAGAAATCAAAAGATCGAGAGATCGAAGCATCAAAAACACGAAAAATTAAAAATTTCAAAAATCTAAAATTTAAAAACTGAAAAGTCAAAAAATCAAAAAGCCGAGAAATCGGGAAATCAAAAATTCAGATTTAAAAAATCGAAAAATTGAAACATCGAAACATCTAAAAATTGGAGAATTGAAACATCGAAAAATTCAAAAAGTGAAACATCGAGGAAACGAAACATCAAAATAACAGTCCAAAATCGAAAAGTTAAAAACTGAAAATTTTTAAATTAAATAGTAATTAAAAAGTAAAACTGAAAAATTTAAATCAAATAAAAAGAAAAGTTGAAAAAACGAAGTAGGAATTGAAATATCCCAAAACGGAAACATTGAAAAATCGAGAAATCGAAGTCAAAAATTTTGAAAAACAAAAAATTGAAAAATCTAAATTCAGGAAGTCAAAAAATCGAAAGATCGAGATATGGAAACATCAAAAAATCGAAAAATTCAAAAATTCAAAAATCTAAAATTTAAAAACAGAAAAGTCAAAAAATCGAAAAGCCGAAAAAATCGGGAATTCAGTAATTTAGAATTTAAAAAACAAAAAATTGAAAAATCGGAAAATTGAAGAATCGAAAAACTGAAAAATTGCAAAATGACGAAAAATTGGGAAATTGAAAAATTGAAAAATCGAAATGGTAAAAACTCGAAAAATCGGAAAGTCGGAAAAAAAAGATAAATTGAGAAATCGAAATAGGTATTGAAATATCCCAAAACGGAAACATTGAAAAATCGAGAAATCGAAAAATCGAAAAGTCAAAAATTTTGAAAAACGAAAAATTGAAATATCTAAATTCAGGAAGTCAAAAAATCGAAAGATCGAGAGATCGAAACATCAAAAAATCGAAAATTTCAAAAATTCAAAAATCTAAAATTTAAAAACCGGAAAGTCAAAAAATCGGGAATTCAATAATTCAGAACTTAAAAAACGAAAAATTGAAAAATCAGAAAATTGAAGAATCGAAAAACTGAAAAATTGCAAAACTGAAATGACGAAAAATTGGGAAATTGAAATATTGAAAAATAGAAACATCGAAAATATCAAAAACTAAAACAAAAAAAAAGAACCATCAAAATTGTAGGTCAAAATCGAAAAATTAAAAACGGAAAAATTTAAAATTAAAAAGTAAAATTGAAAAATTGAAATTGGAGAACTCGAAAAATTAAAAAACTTGTCATTTTAAAATCGAAAAATTGAAAAATCGAAAAAGTAAAAACTCGAGAAATCGGAAAGTCAGAATTATCTGAAATATTTAAACCATAATCGCAGTCAGGACAAACGTATGTACATTTTTAGCGATATATTTGTTTGCGATACTCTCTCTAAAACAAGGTTGTTTCATATACGAACAGGATTTTTTATTATTAGAATTTTGATCAACAATTTACCATGTTTTTGATTACCTTAAAACGTTTATAAGATTCCAGAGCATTCGGTTTTGCAATTTCTAAGTTAAATAATAAAATGTGCTACGCAGTTTTGCTTTTTATGTCAAGGGTAAAAACTGAAGACAGACTCATAAACCACAACCATAGGAGTATAAATATCGTTATACAATTTTAAGTTTTTCCAAAAATCTGTATGTCGAGGGTAAGAACTCAACACGGATTCATAAACCACACGTGCACGTGTATATTATTCTATAAATTTAAATAACATTTATTCGGCAAAATTTTGTGAACAGGTCATCAATTTTTTAGGAGGAGATAAAGCATACATTTTGATTAACCTTTTATCATGCATACCATAACCTTAAAGCGTTTTCAAGAATTCAGAGCATTCGGTTTTGTATCGTTAAAAAAATCACTCGACTGTTTAAAGTATGATTTCAAAAAACTCTCGTTTTGAATTTAAAATTTTCTGTAACAAAACCAGGAAATTTGTATCCTTGTACACTTTATTATATCTACATCTTTACGGATTAAGGAAATTCACAGTGAGGAGGCGGAGCAGTCTAATACCCCTCACTGCTAATAAGTTGCATAGATACAAAGAAGAAAAATAAAAGAATAACTCTATAATTATAATACAACTATAATTTAAAAGAGACGAAAAAAGAAATATATATTTAAGCGAAATTTTGCATTAACAATAAAATAAATAACGAATTGATTAAGTTATCAAAAGTGTCTAATTTTTATCGCAAGGAATTTTACTTTTGCGTCCAATTTTGTTACTTGTTAATTTATCACATTAAGTACTTTATCAACGTAAACGAAAACAATCACAAAATATTTGCACAAATCTACTTTAAAAATGTTGGTAAAACGATATAAACAATTAAAAAAAGGTCGTTTATGCTTGCCAACAAATAAACCGTGTGGTAAATATTGGGTTTAAATAATTACACCAGACCTAAATGTCAATATAAAGTCATTCAGCACCTCGTGGATGTATGTTTTTTCATCGAATCCATATTTATTATGTGTTTGTCTACATTACACATTACTCTTTTGTATTGCTAAGTAATTAAATCACAGCATTTGAAAATTCGTGCAATTTACAAATAAAAACTCGCTTCAGATGTCCTCTTCCTATATTCCAGTAGATTTCTTGTTTAATTTCCGCTTACCGGTCCCCGATGACAGTATCCAAATAGGAGCGAAAACTCGCCCGCTTCGGTAAGAATTTTTCCAAGAAATATTCTGTGTCAATAATACATGTTTGCCTTCGCTTGAGAATCATTTTAAACAAAACGTGTTAAGAAATGTGAGAGATATTTTTTAAGAATTCGTCCATCAGTAGTCACCTGGCGCATCCACCATTTTTAGCGCAGTGCACTTAAATTTTAACAATACGTCGAATAAAAATTCAAAATGTAAGACCGTGCACTATTCACTTTATTTTCTCGGTAAATTCGATTGTCCTACGCGAGACTGTTGAATTTCCTATTCCGCATAACGCACAGTCTCCCAATTGAAAGTTTCTAAATTCAAGACAATAAGACGATCGTACGAAATATCGATATTTTATAAATAAAGATACATGAGGATGGAATACTGATAAATGACATTTCTTTTGAGAGTTCATATCAAACGCTATAAAACGCACGATTAAATTTAAGTTGTTTTCGCAACACATAAGGAAGAAAAATACCCCAAACAATCAAATAAAGAAATATGACGCGGCCGCAGACGTGCATGCAATTTTTCTAAATCCACGGCTTCAAATGAAAATATTGAAATTGAAAGCACGCGAGGGCAGCCTGTTTATTTCAGGATATCAACCAAGATTAAGTGCGTTCCTGTGGAGATGATGCGATTAGGTTCCCTCAAAGCTTATCCCATTGACATTTTGGCCTGAAACAAGCCGTGTAAAGTCGCTTTATGATTTTAGTGAGCCGTTATACGTGACGAACGCGGTGTCGCTCACATTCACTACTATTGTTAACAACGTATTAATGTATTAAAGCACGATTTTTTTTTGTTGCAGGAAAGGACATGAGAGTGAAGAATTCTCGACGACTTCTAACTGAATCGAAGATTGTACTTAAAATGTGATTAGATTTATTAATGTTACGTTATCTTATATTGTTAGACTGGGGCTCGCCTTAGGGCTGGGGGCGAGGCACAGTTGCTTCCGATTATTTTGTTACTAAAACTGTAAACTAAATAAGTGGATGTATTTCATGTGCAATAAACAATTATGTTCAAACTTTCTAGCACTAATATTCTTTTATTTTTTCGCACCTGAAATGAAATCGTATCCGTTTCCCAAAAATATTTACGTAAAGCAATGCGAAAAATACTGAAGTGACCGTAGTTGACCCCGAGTTGGAATAATTTTCCTAATTTTATCCTTCCGAGTTAGCATGGGTTAACCATGCCACAAGTTGGCAAGTATCATCAAAGACAATGGCTGCTCATATATTTGACAAATTGTTCGTGCACACTATCTTGTATCATGCTAGACTTCGCTTAATCTGCCTGATTTAGTTGAGGTTTGTGAACTCAAGTTATGTCAAGAGCTTTCTTTAATTTCATATGCATCAACTAACACCAACCGATTTTTTAAACACAATATAACAATTTTATAAATATACAGGACGAGCCAATAAGCGCCCCTCCATATCTCATTAATTACTAAAGATAGAAAGAGTCAAGCAACATAAACTAAAATTATTTTTTTAACGAAATGTTTATATTTATAATGATTGTGATACTAAAAAATCTGAATGGAACACTCTTTATATATGAACTCAACTAATACACGCAAGCAAATAAATGATACAATGACAAAGTTGAATAACCACAAAACTAGCGTACAGTTGGGATTAACAACAATGAAAACTGGCTACGTTATGAAGTGCGAATTGTCGTTATAAGTTTGAATGATCGATTCGCTTTGTCTATACTAAAATAATATTTATCTTCGTGTTATCAAAAGACAAAATAAATAAGGGCCCAGTACAATGGAAACAAAGTATCAACGTACGATGGAAAGAAAATAAGTAGGGTCTACTTACGATACAACTAATAAAACCCACCATTACATCGGCGAGTTATTTTATAATTTGTATAAATATTTCCTTTTGGAATAAAATACAAACAGCCCTTTGTTGAAAAATATTTCCAACAATTAATTACTATCGTTGCTGAACAATTCGTGGGTATATAGATACATAGGAGTATTAAATTGTACAAAGGTGTATTGTTGGTTGCATACACGATTTGAAAAACCACGCATTCGAAGTGGATTTTTTCACAGGGTATGTATAATAGCCACAAGTTGCAAATTAATTTAACAAATGACTAAAGCAAGTGTTAAAAGTTCATCGTCAATTCTAAGTAAACAGACAAGCCTAATTCTGTTATTTAAGTTTTTAACTCTCAATGGTTGTACCTAATAATTGAAACTTCCTGTGGTTCTGGTGTCTCAAAATTAAATCATAAACAAAAATTAAAAATTCTTTAACAATTAAATCTAATACTAATCTCAACCAGTTTTTATTTTTTATTTCTCCGGTAATACTGAGAATAAATAACATCAAACGATCATCAATGAAACAAAGGCTGGCTTTATTTTAAAGGGCTTGCGATTGACTTCGTAGCAATATGCGTTACATTATAAACATTAAAAATATTTGTAAACTTCACGACAAAATCTGGTTTGGGTGCCTCATTAAAATTTCTTGTGCGGGAAGTCTTTGAAAAAATACTCTTTAATACATCCAATGTATCGGATAAGCCGAGAATTATTCCCTAAAGTAATGAGAACGAAATATCGGACAAATTATGAAAACTAGACTTTAGAAACACGCTTTCAATTAAAGTTTTACTGTAGAAGTTGGTTCATAAAATATGCAGTGCTTGTTAGAAAATGTAGCAACCACGGTTTACAGAAAAGGTAAGCGCCGTCATTTTTCATAAAAATGGTATACAGAAAAATGGCATTTTGACGTTTTAGTTACTTTTTATTTTTGGAATAAATACCACTACAAAAAAAAAAAACAGATAACAAAAAATGTAACTGATTCGAATTTCAATCCTCTTAAAACAAACATTACAAAATTGGTCGAAGGTTAAACAGATTACGAACAGGAAAAAATGTTTTTCGAAAAATCGAAATATCCAAAAATCGAACAATCGAAAAAACAAAAAATCAAAGAATTGAAAAAGTCAAAAATTAAAACACAAAAAAATTAAAATATCAAAAAATTGAAGTTCCCACAATTGAAATGTTAAAGATTGAGAAATCGAAAAACTGAGATGTCAGGAAATCGAACATCAAAAATTCCTAAAATCAAAAATGTAAAATTTAAAAAAATCAACTTTCAAAAATTGAAACAGAAGTCGAAAAACCTAAAACTTGAAAAACTGAAAAATTAAAATATCAAAAAATTGCAGAATCAAAAAATTGAAAAATTCCTAAACTGAAATTACGAAAAATTGGGAACCGAAAAATTATCGAAACATCGAAAAATTGAAAAAAAAAACGAAATATCGAAAAATTCAAAAATTAAAACATCGAGAAATCCAAATATCAAAAGATCGAGAAATTGAAACATGAAAAATCGAAAAATTGAAAAACTCAAAACTCTAAAGTTTAAAAACCAAAAAATAAAAAAATCTAAAAGCGGAGAAATTGGAAAATCAAAAATTCAGCATGTAAAACATCAAAAAATTGAAAAATTTGAAAACTGGGAAATCGAAAAATTGAAACATCGAAAAATTCAAAACTGAAAAGTTTTAAATTAAAAACTAAAATTAACTAAAAAGTAAAATTGAAAAATTTAAATATCGAAAAACTGGAATAAGGGGAAATCGAAACAAGAAATCGAAAAATTTGGAAAAACGAAAAGGTAAAAACTCGAGAAATCGGAAAGTCAAAAAAAGAAAAATTGAAATATTAAAATATCCCAAAACTAAAGTATCACAAAGTTGGACATTAGAAGAAAAATTGAACAGAAAAATTTTAAAATCCCAGAACTGAAAGATCGAAAAATCGAGAAATCGAAAAGTAGAAAAATCGACATCGAAAAATCGAAAACTCAAAAATTTTGGAATTCGAAAAATTGAAAAGTCTAAAATCAGGAAGTCGAAAAATCGAAAGATCGAGAAACTGAATCAATAAATGGAATATTTGAAAAATTCAAAAATTGAAAAGTCAAAAGCTCTAAAAGCCGAGAAATTGGGAAATCGAAAATTCTGAGTTAAAAAAATTGAAAAATTGAAAAATCGGAAAATTGGAGAATCGAAAAACTGAAAAATCGAGAAATTGAAAAATTGCAAAACTGAAATAACGAAAAATTGGAAAATCGAAAAATTCAAAAATTGAAACATCGAGAAACCGAAACATCAAAATAATAGGTCAAAATCGAAAAATTCAAAACTGAACAATTTAAAATTAAAAAGTAATTAACTTGAAAGTAAAATTGAAGAATTTAAATATCGAAAAATTGAAGTACAGATGTAGAAACGGAAACAAAATCCGAAGAATCGGAAAGTCAAAAAAAAAAAGAAAAATTGAAAAATCGAAAAATCGAAAACTAAAAAAAACCGAAAGTCAAAATTAAAAATTCGAAAATTGAGAAGTCAAAAACTTGAAAAATTGAAGAATCGAAAACCTGAAAAATTGCAAAATTGAAATAACGAAAAATTGGGAAATAGAAAAATTGAAAGATCAGAACATGGAATAATTGAAAAATTCAAAAATCGAAAAGTCAAAAGCTCTAAAAGCCGAGAAATTAGGAAATCGAAAATTCTGAGTTAAAAAAATTGAAAAATCGGAAAATTGGAGAATCGAAAAACTGAAAAATCGAGAAATTGAAAAATTGCAAAACTGAAATAACGAAAAATTGGGATATCGAAAATTGAAAAATCAAAACATCGAAAAATTCAAAAACTGATAATTGAGAAAACGAAATATCAAAATAATAGGTCAAAATTAAGAAGTAATTAACTAAAAAGTAAAATTGAACAATTTAAATATCGAAAAATTGAAATACATATGTAGAAATCGAAACAAAATCCGAAGATTTTAAAAAACGAAAAGGTAAAAACTCCAGAAATCGGAAAGTTAAAAAAAAAGAAAAATTGAAAAATCGAAATATTGAAGTATTCCAAAACTGAAATATCAAAAAATTGAACAATGAAAGAAAAATTGAATAGAAACATTTAAAAATTCCAAAACTGAAAGATCGAAAAATCGAGAATTCGAAATCTAAAAAAAACGAAAGTCAAAATTACGAAAATCGAGAAATTGAATCTAAAAATGGAAAAATTGAAAAATTCGAAAATTGAGAAGTCAAAAACTCAAAAAATCGAAAAATTGAAAGATCAGAACATCTAAAAATTCAAAAATTGAAACATCAAACAATTCGAAAAGGTAAATTCAAAATAATGTCAAAATCGAAAAGTTGAAAACTGAAAAATTTAAAATTAAAAAGTGATTAATTAAAAAGTAAAATTGAAAAATTTAAATATCGAAAAACTTAGATATGAACAAATCGAAACAATAAATAGAAAAATTTGAAAACTTGAAATTTAAAAATCGAAAAATCAAAACGCGAGCAATTGGAAAGTCAAAAAAAAATGCAAAATCGAAATATTGAAATACCTATAAACCTGAAATAAAAAATGGGAAATTGGACGAAAATTGAAACATCGAACATAGAAAAATCGAATAGTCACAAATTTTGAAAATCGAAACATCAAAAAATTGAAAGATCGAAAAATTCAAAAAGTGAAACATCGAGGAAAGGAAACATCAAAATAACAGGCCAAAGTCGAAAAGTTAAAAACTGAAAAATTTAAAATTAAATAGTAATTAATTAAAAAGTAAAACTGAAAAATTTAAAATTAAAAAGTAATTAACTAAAAAGTGAAATTGAAAAATTTAAATATCGAAAAATAGAAATATGGAGAAATCGAAACAGTTGAAAAGGTCAAATCTCAAGAATCGGAAAGTCAAAAAAAAGAAAAATTGAAAAATGGTAATATTGAATAACTCAAAACTGAAATATCAAAAAATTGGACATCGAAAGAGAAATTGAATAGAAACATTTAAAAATCCCAAAGCTAAAAGATCGAAAAATCGAGAAATCGAAAACTAGAAAAATCGAAAGTCAAAAATTTTGAAAATCAAAAAATTGAAAAATCTAAAATCAGGAAGTTGAAAATTCCAAAAATCGAGAAATTGAATCCAGAAATAGAAAAATTCAAAAATTCAAAAATCGAAAAGTCAAAAACTCGGTAAAGTCGGAAAATTGAAGAATCGAAAAACTGAAAAATCGAGAAATTAAAAAATTGCAAAACTGAATTAACAGAAAATTGGGAGAGACAGTTGTAAGTGATTTTTGTTGTTCTTCCCGTTCTTTCTTTCCTTCCTTCCTTCCTTCTTTCTTCCTTTGTTTCTCCTGAAAAATCAGAAAATCTAAAAATTCAAAAACCAAAACAAAAAAGGTAAATTCAAAATCGAAAAGTTCGAAACTGAAAAATTTTAAATCAAAAAATAATTAATTAAAAAGTAAAGTTGAAAAGTTTGAAAACTTGAAAATTAAAAACCGGAAAATCGAAACGGGAGAGATCGGAAAGTCAAAAAAAATTGTAAAATCGAAATATTGAAATACCTCAAAACTGAAATAAAAAATTGGACGAAAAATTGACGAATACAAAAATTTAAAAACCCCATCGAACATCGAAAAAACGAAGTCACAAATTTTGAAAATCGAAACATCAAACAATTAAAAAATTGAAAAATTCAAAACTCGAAGTCAAAAATCAAAAAGCCGAGAAATCGGGAAATCAAAAATTCAGAATTTAAAAAATCGAAAAACTGAAAAATCGGAAAATTGGGAAATCGAACAACTGAAAAATCGAAACATCGAAAAATTCAACAAGTGAAACATTGAGAAAACGAAACATCAAAATAATAGGTCAAAATCGAAAAATTTAACATTGAAAAGCGATGAACTAAAAAATAAAATTGAAAAATTTAAATACCGAAAAATTGGAATACATATGGAGAAATCGAAACAAAAAATCCGAAAATTTGAGAAAAGGAAAAGGTAAAAACTCGAGAAATATTGAAATACTCTAAAACTGAAATATCAAAAAATTTCAAATGGGAGAAAAATTGACGAAAAGACAAATTGAAAATACAAAAATTGAAAAATCGAACAATTGAAAAATCGAAAATTGAAGAATTTACAAACTGAAAAGTCGAAACATTACAAAAGTCGAGAAATCTGGAAATGGGAAAATCAAAAAATCGATTAATCGAGAAATTGAGGAATCGAAAAATCGAAAAATCGTAAAACTGAAACAACAGAAAATTGATAAATCGAAAAATGAAAAAATCGAGAAATCGAAAATTTGAGGAATCGAGAAATTGAAAAATTCCGACACTGCATTATCGAAAAATTGGAATGTTAGTTGTTAATAATTAAATAAGATTTACTCAACAAAATTGTAAGATCAATTTCTGGAAAAAGGCATAAACGGATAAATTTTGATTAACGATTTACCATATTTGAGATAACCTTAATACGTTCGTAAGATTGTAAAATGTTATATAATTTTGATTTTCTTTCAAGTATCTGGATGCCTAAGGTAAGAAGTCAACACGTATTCATAAACCACAAATGGAAGAATACGTTATTTTATCAAATATAAATAACATTTACTACTGTAAAACTTTACTATCTACATGCTATTCTTAACATACCTACCTACAAAATTTGACTACAATTGGTTCGGTAGTTTCGCAGATTATCTATCTAATTAAAATCTGGACAGATGGCAGACTTGCAAACAGATGGACGAAAATGGAGACCTATTTTTTCGTGTTCTAAGGGTCATGTAAAGTCGCAAAAACATGAAAGAAGCTAATCGCCCGGTGGACTCAATTACAATACTTCCTTAGCGTAAGCCCAGGAAGTAAGAATTGCTAAAGGTTCTCTTTTTAAGTCACGCCCTCTGGCGGTTCTGCTGTTAACGCAAACCTCAACTATTTCTATTATCGAACGCAATGTAAATTTTCTCAAGTAGTCTCACTATCCCTCTATTCACGTTGGTAACAACTCAAACTCCAAAGCGCAAAGAAATACCATCCAATATCTGCTAAATAGAAAGTAATCTCATTTCCGGAAAAAACACATTGAAAAGAAGTATTTACTGGTCTATGATTGGATCTTGCGCTTATCGCCTTTGCAGATGAATGAAACAAATCAACATTTGTCAGTTTCTTTTAACAAGATGTCAGCTTAACGTTTTGTTCCGGCTGTAAATGTGATTGAAAGTCAAAGAACATTCAAATGGAAATTTAAACTACAATTTATCTCCTAGAAACTGTAATTCTTGGGGGGTAAAAAATTCCGTTTTCTTGCAAATTTTTAGGTAGACGGTAATTCCGGGTAAACTTCTACTCAGAGAACAGTGTTTTTCATTAAAAAAAAAAAAAAAACGCAAATAATAATAAGTATATAGAAAGTTACAAACAAAATGCGGGTATAAGTTTTAAAAGCTATAGTAAAACCCTAACCGATAATAATTAACTTTGTTGTTACTTTCTAATTTCAAATAATTACAAAAAAAACAAGCTAAATAAAACAAAACTTTCAAATATATGAACGCTTTATTCCAACACGAAGTGAGAGAACGATAACATACCTTCCTCCGTAATGTAATGAATTTATTCAGGGGTGCAAAAATGATGATTACACAATAATTTATGATAATCCTTCGCATAAATTAGATATTCCCGATTTGCATAATCCTCACACCCTGCTAATCTTGGAAGACATCCGGCAAAGAGAACATGCCGAATTGACAAGAGACATGTTAAAAACACAACTGATCACTTTCCACTCGTCTCCAATAAAACGGCTTTTATGGCTTCACGGCTACTAGGGCGTGACACCTGGGCGATATCCCTTGATCCGTAACTTTAACAACAAAACATTCTATCCCTCTCTCCTTTAAAAACATAACTCGATCTAAAAGTACCACATTTTCGCATATACTCTGCATGGCAGCCTGAAACGCTGCTAATGCCTCGACTAGGTGAGCGTCCCTTTTATGTTGGGTCCATTTTTCACGCATTTTGTCCAAGAATTGATGATCAGTTATTTCGCCTCCTATTAGAGCGTGGGTGTGTTTTAGGGTGGCTAAGTAAGTTTCGAAGGGTTCGGTGTGACCATCTGCTTGCTTTAATTTACCGGATTTTCTTTTTAGACGCCTCACCTGGTAATTCTCTGAAAGAAAAAGCATTGAAATTCTGAATAAATTTTTAGCAATTACGGAATATTCAGGTTTAACAAGAGCGGTAAGTAGGGACGAGGTAACGTTATTGAACTGAAACAATGTAACGTTAAACATGCAGCACTTTGAACAATTTCGTTTCAATTGTTATCAGAAATGTCGAAATTTGTTAGTAGTTCGGGGAGAATCAATAAAAATTATAAGTCGATAAAACGTCAAAACCACCTTTAACAAAAAAGTAAAAGCACATTTATAGTAAAGCATTGCACGGATCTACACCAACTTATCAGACATTAGTCTTATGACAGATTGCTCTTATTGTTTTAAAGTATGGTGCGGTGACAAACCTCTAAATTCATCTTTTGTAGACCACTAAAATTTGTGACGTTGTCCCTCCAAATATTTTTTTAACTAAAAAAAGTAGACTTACTCTTTCTATGCATACGTTAGAATCCACACGTAACTGTAGCACTGGGGGAAAAATAGCGTCTACCCAAAATCGCCTTTCTCAGGAAGGGATCAAGGTAGGAAAATTTACAAAAATATGCTTATTATTTCTTGTAACGTTAAATGTACTTTTTCAGTGTCTGTTTACTTTAGTATATAACAGGTTTACAATATATATATATACTATTTTACTTATCTACGTTAAAAAAAACCACCATCGACTCACTACGTAGATTAATTAACCGACTTTACTGTTACCGATAAGCTTAGTACCGTATGCAGATAACAAAAAAGTATAATATTGTGGTTGGTTATTCGTTAGCAACTATATCTTTTTGTTCGTTTTTAACCAAAAGTGCAGTGACTTTCCTACAATGTCTAGTCCCCACAACAAATTCTTTAAAAATATCGCAAAGCTTAGGACAATAACTATATAGTGACAGCTTTGAAATGTAAGTATAATTGGTGGAATATTTTTTATATTTTCTCGACGTTTCATGAACCCTAGAGTAAACAGGTCTCCGTTTCCGTTGTTCCGTCTGTCTGTTTGTTTGAATTTTCATTAGACAAATAACCTCCGAAAATACTGGACCAATTGTTGTCAAACAAAACGAATATTGTGTAGGTGGTAAAACGCTAACCAAAATTGGATAAACATCCCCAACAATAGGATAACGTCACCTCCAAAATTTACATTAGTAAATATTATTTCAATTTTATAAAATAAGATAATCGTAAAAAAATTAAAAATGTGTAACATTTTGCAATTTATTCGTTTATCCCCTTCCAAAAAATTGACGACGTTATCTCAAAATTTTGCCGAATAAATCCTCTTTGAATATGCAACATACTATGATTTCATAAATTTTAGAATTACTTATACATACAGAGTGACTCAAAAATTAATAAATAAGGCGATTTATTGTACTGATTAAACTCAAGAACGACTCATTCCAGAAAATTTTGAATTCAGTACTGTTATTATTAGCAATACACTGCACCTATCCAAATTGATATACGTGTGCTTGCAAAAATGTTGATGATTTTAACATGTAGGAATTATAAAAAAAAAATAAAATTCGCAAAATCAAAATCAGTTTTTTGATATCACAATTTTTCGTACTCTATTTTCTTTATTTTTTCAACCTTAATTTTATTAATTTTTCAATTTCTCGACTTCCAAATTTTTCAGTTTTATGCTTCTTCAAGTTTTCGATTTGCAGTTTTTCAATATTGCAATTTTTCGATATTACAATTTTATTTTTCGATTTTTCAGTTTCTCAATTTTTAATTTTTCGTTTTCTGAATTTTTCAAGTTCTTGATATTTATTTTTGTTCGTTTTTTCATTCCCTCCATTTTTTTCAATGTTTCTTTCAATTTTATCATTTTTCGTTAAAATCAATTTACCAAAATTTCATTCTTGACTTTTCAATTTCTCGATTTTCCAATTTTTACATTTTTCAATCTTCCGATTTTACAATATTTCGTTTTTCCGATTTTGCACTTTTTCAATTTTTCGTTTCTTCAATTTTTCAAATTCTAGATTTCCAATTTTTAGATTTTTCGAAGTTTTCATTTTACATTTTTTCGTTTGTCACTTTTGATTTTTCAATTTTACAGTTTTCCCATTTTCCGAAAAACTTGAAAAACCGAAAAACTGAAAAAACGAGCAGTCGTAAAAGTGAAAAAATGCAAATCAAAGGACTGAAAAAACGAAAAATTGAAACACTGAAAAACTCAAAATGGAGAAACTTCAAAATCCAAAATAAAACAAAAAAAATTTTGAAGAAGAAAAAACGAATTGATTCGAAAAGTTGGAACACCTAAAAATTGCAAAGTCGAAAAACTGTAAGACTGAAAATTTGAAAAATTAAATATCTAGAAATTCAAAAATTAAAACAGAAAAATTGAAAAATCGAATAAAATGAAATTTTTTTAAATACAGTAACTGAAAAATGTAAAAATTCTAAAAAAACTAATAAAAAACATTTGAAGAAGAAAAAACGAATTGATTCGAAAAATTGGAACACCTAAAAATTGCAAAGTCGAAAAACTGAAAATTTGAAAAATTAAATATTTAGAAATTCAAAATTTAAAATAGAAAAATTGAAAAATCGAATAAAATTAAAATTTTTTAAATCCTGTAACTGAAAAATGTAAAAATTCTACAATCATAAAACTGACAAAGTAAAAAATTTTACAAATTATAATTATTATTACATATGTATTTAAAATGAACACTGGAAAAATTACAATTCAAAAATTGAAGAAACGAAAAACTGAAAAAACGAGAAACGGTACAATCCAAAAATTGAAAAATCGAAAAATTAAAAAATCTAAAGATGAAAAACCAAAAATCGATGAGCGAAAAACTTGAAATCGAAAAATTGAAACATTGAAAAACTCAAAATCGAGAAACCTAAAAATCCAAAACAAACTAATAAAAAAATTTGAAGAAGAAAAAACGAATTGATTCGAAAAATTGGAACACCTAAAAATTGCAAAGCCGAAAAACTGTAAGATTGAAAAATTGAAAAATTAAATATCTAGAAATTCAAAAATTAAAATAGAAACATTGAAAAATCGAATAAAATGAAAAAGCTTTTTAAATCCAGTAACTGAAAAATGTAAAAATTCTACAATCATAAAACTGAAAAAGTAAAAAATTTTACAAATTATAACTATTATTACATATGTATTTAATATAAAAACTAGAAAAATTACAATTCAAAAATTGAAGAAACGAAAAACTGAAAAAACGAGAAACGGTACAATCCGAAAATTGAAAAATCGAAAAATTAAAAAATCCAAAGATGAAAAACCAAAAATTGATGACCGAAAAACTTCAAATCGAAAAATTGAAACATTGAAAAACTCAAAATCGAGAAACTTAAAAATCCAAAAAAAAACTAATAAAAAAATTTGAAGAAAAAACGAATTGATTGGAAAAATTGGAACACCTAAAGATTGCAAAGCCGAAAAACTGTACGACTAAAAATTTGAAAAATTAAATATCTAGAAATTCAAAAATTAAAATAGAAAAATTGAAAAATCGAATAAAATGAAAGTTTTTTAAATCCAGTAACTGAAAAATGTAAAAATTCTATAATCATAAAACTGACAAAGTAAAAAATTTTACAAATTATAATTATTATTAGATATGTATTTAAAATGAAAACTAGAAAAATTACAATTCAAAAATTGAAAAAACGAAAAACTGAAAAAACGAGAAACGGTACAATCCAAAAATTGAAAAATCGAAAAATTAAAAAATTCAAGGATGAAAAACCAAAAATTGATGACCGAAAAACTTCAAATCGAAAAATTGAAACATTGAAAAACTCAAAATCGAGAAACTTAAAAATCCAAAAAAAAAACTAATAAAAAAATTAGAAGAAAAAACGAATTGATTCGAAAAATTGGAACACCTAAAAATTGCAAAGTCGAAAAATTGTAAGACTGAAAATTTGAAAAATTAAATATCTAGAAATTCAAAAATTAAATAGAAAAATTGAAAAATCGAATAAAATGAAAGTTTTTTAAATCCAGTAACTCAAAAATGTAAAAATTCTACAATCATAAAACTGACGAAGTAAAAAATTTTACAAATTATAATTATTATTACATATGTATTTAAAACGCAAACTAAAAAAATTACAAATCAAAAATTGAAGAAACGAAAAAATGAAAAAACGAGAAACGGTACAATCCAAAAATTAAAAAATCGAAAAATTAAAAAATCTAAAGATGAAAAACCAAAAATTGATGACCGAAAAACTTCAAATCGAAAAATTGAAACATTGAAAAACTCAAAATCGAGAAACTTAAAAATCCAAAAAAAAAAACTAATAAAAAAATTTGAAGAAGAAAAAACGAATTGATTCGAAAAATTGGAACACCTAAAAATTGCAAAAGTCGAAAAACTGTAAGACTGAAAATTTGAAATATTAAATATCTAGAAATTCAAAAATTAAAATAGAAAAATTGAAAAATCGAATAAAATTAAAGTTTTTTAAATGCTGTAACTGAAAAATGTAAAAATTCTACAATCATAAAACTGACAAAGTAAAAAATTTTTAAAATTATAATTATTATTAGATATGTATTTAATATGAAAACTAGAAAAATTACAATTCAAAAATTGAAGAAACGAAAAACTGAAAAAACGAGAAACCGTACAATCCACAAATTGAAAAATCGAAAAATTAAAAAATCCAAAGATGAAAAACCAAAAATTGATGACCGAAAAACAAATCGAAAAATTGAAACATTGAAAAACTCAAAATCGGGAAACTTAAGAATCCAAAAAAAACTAATAAAAAAATTTGAAGAAGAAAAAACGAATTGATTCGAAAAATTGGAAAACCTAAAAATTGCAAAGTCGAAAAACCAAAACTGAAAAATTGAAAAATTAAATATCTAAAAATTCAAAAATTAAAATCGAAAAATTGAAAAATCGAATAAATGAAAAAATTTTTTAAATCCAGTACATAACTGAAAAATGGAAAAATTCTACAATGACAAAGTAAAAAATTTTTTAAATTATAATTATTATTACATACGTATTTAAAATGAAAACTAGAAAAATTGCAATTCAAAAATTGAAGAAACGAAAGACTGAAAAAACGAGAAACGGTACAATCCAAAAATTGAAAAATCGAAAAATTAAAAAATCTAAAGATGGAAAACAAAAAATTGATAACCGAAAAATTTCAAATCGGAAAATTGAAAAATGCAGCAATTGAAAATTTTCACAATGAAAAAGAGAAAAATTAAAAACTGAAACGAAAAATTGCAAATGAAAAATGGGAAGCTTGAAAAACTAAAAACTGAAAATTCATAAAATTGCAAATCGAAAAAATGCAAAATCAAAAACTGAAACATCAAAAAGTTGGCAAGTTGAAGAACCAAAAAAATTTATTCAAAAATGAGAACTCGAAGAGTTACAAATCGTCAAATTGAAGAAACAAAAAAAAAACGGAAAATTGAAGAATTGAAGAAACGAAAAACAGAAAATTGAAATTGGAAAGATAAAAAATTATAAAATTGAATCACTGAAATGTGCAAAAACTGTAAAAATAAAGAAAAAAGATCGAACCGAAAAACTGCAAATCGAAAATTTGAAGAAATGAAAAAATAAAAAATCAAAAAATTGAAAAATTAAAACACTGAAAAACTTACATTTGAAAACTCGAAAAACTGGAAAAACAAAATAATTAAAAATTGAAAAATTCAAGTCAAAAAATCTACGAGTGTTGTTTACGCCACTGGTTTTAAATCATCAACGTTGCCATTTGTTGAAATATTTATTTATTCTTTAAAACACTCGATCAAAATCAAATCAGTAAAATTTAATTAATTGGTCTATAATCGCTAAACAAATTTAATGTATTACAAATATTAAAAAAAGGATCTAAAATGAAGTCAATTTCACAGTTTCCATAATTATGGTTTTAATCTGAGGTCGTAGAAAAGGCATAACACGCTTTAAACCTCTCTAGACACTTGTTTTTTAAACACTCGCTGCGCTCGTGATTAAACAAACTCATGACTAAAGAGCCGTTTATAATACTTGTAGCATAATATGGTATTGTTTAATTATAATTTCAGTGCTTTTCTAATACTTATTTTCCGCTTTCTATTATAGAAGTGGTTTTATAGAGTTCTAAAAAACACACAAAATGCAAAATTACCTACACCAAAAAATTTTAAACAAAAAACTTAGTGAGAAGTCGTTCTCGTTTCCATTCCTGAACAAAGACCCAGCGATTGTAGTTCAAATTTGAACACCACGTATATGGGAACGTGGCATTTATTTATTACCTGTCATTTTCGATAAAACAGGAAATGTAAGTCCATTAGATATTCTAGTTAAAATTTTTACGTTTTTATTGCACTGGTAAGTAAAATATGAAAATGAAAAATAAACACTACTTTGTTGCATTACCATAATTTCTTTCGTAATAGCCTGTCGACCATTAAGGAGTAGTTTAATGGTGAAGAATTGACCCCAAAATTAACCTACGAGACGAAATATACAACTGTACACACAGGTCATCAATCTTTATAATTACAGTCGTAGCCGGAAAATTCAATTTTAAGGGAAAAACATTTAATTACATTTGATTAATCCGACTTTTACGTTATTAAAGTGACCCAGGTTAGTTTGAAGAATTAGGAGTTTCAAGAACAACATGAATAACAAATTTTCATACCTTTTATTTGATATTTATTTGTCTGTCCCTCACATAGTAACATTTTTATTTTATTATTTATTACGAAATACTGTATAAGTGGGAAGTCCATAGTAAGAACAGTGTTAACACTATTTGTTTGATATTAATATAATGTGTGTATCAATAACTATTTTCCCACGTCGTTTTGTGACAACAAATTAGTAAGTATGCATTTTATCGCACCTTTGTGTTATTCATTGTGGAGTAATTTATTATATGGAAATAGGTTTCCTCGCCATAAAAAATTCTTTTTAGGTCAATTATATAGAAAACAGTGTTTAACGCGCCCGTGTTGTACATTTACAGTGACAGTTCTTTAAAAACTGAAGGACAGTCAAGGTGTGTTTCAAATAAAACAGAATTTTCAGTTTTTTAATTAAGGTTTCTAGCATTGTCACATAAACAAAAAAATGTTTATTAATGTAGTTTAAGAGATTTATTTAGTTTGAAAAATAAAAATCATATTATCATGTAATCCAAAAATTTGTGGGAAGTTACTTAGACAGAAATTCGTTCACTCTTGACGCACAGCTAAAATTGTCTATGCTTCAGTTTTTTTTTTGAACAAAGATTCATTTAGTAATTTTAGTAAATCAGGACATTTCACACATTCGGTGGAAAAAATAAATTCAAATAGACATTCCATAATCATTAATCAATGCATTTCCTTCGTCATGTAAGTTCCAAGAAAAATGTTATTGAACAAATTGTATTTTTTACGATAACCGCTATACGTCAGGTTAGAAATAGCAACACATTATTAAACCACAAGTAAAGCGGCATCTTGCAATATAAATTTGGAGCGAGATTTGTTTGGAAATGACGTCATTAATTGTTTGGTGGGGATGACAGACAAATTTTGGTTAGCATTTTGCCACAGTAATCTTAAATAACACTTAAAACTTCACAGTATTAACTTGTTAGCTTATGAGATCATACCTCATAAATGAGTTTCCAGATACATATTTGGGTTTTTTTTTTACTTATCTTATCAAACATAAACTTGCGCCCACCAATCAAACAAAGATATCATACAAATGTAGTTTACTTAATGGGTATCTGGGATGATAAACAATTATTTCGCATCGATTCACTAGGTGAGTTTTATAAGTTATGCATATTGTTCCACCAATAATAATTAGGTCGATAATTGTGCAAAAATTTTGAGACACTATTTTTAAATCAATGAACTGAAACGTATGTTAGTTACCGTTAATGATCTTTTTACAGATTTTCTATTTTGTTTGTATGGATCTGCTGCTCAAGCAACCTGCACTCTATTGCAGTAAAAGGATAAAGCGCAAAATTAGTTACACTTTGATTTAGACCTAGACTAGGACTCATAACGGGGCAATTAATCGTGGAATAAAAACGCAGATTGTTTCCTCTACGAAAAACGTGAATAAAGAATACTGAGAGAAAGTACTAAAATTACACCACGGGTGCCACCTAAAAATATTTAATTCATTATGTGAAATTACTTCAAAAAATCCAAAAAAGAAATTAATTACTTTTCAAAGAGTGTTTGGAAATCTGTGCATTCAAAAAACATACATAGTACAACTTACTTGATTTCAACGTATCTAAATAAATTATTAACACGTTAGAAGCATTGTGTGTTATCAGTTTTTATCTATTTATCCCCTCTAAAAAAATGATGGCATTATGTCGAAATTTTGTGATAAAACCTATCTAAAATGTGCGACATATGCGATACTTGTGGTTTATTAATGCACCGATATTTTTTGTCAAGCCGGTTTTTGGAAAATAATTCAAAACTGTACAAAAAACGAATTGCTCTGAAATTTACTACAAGTTTTCACTACACCTATTCACATCGATATAGTGCCTTTGATAAAATATGGATAACGTCATCACGAAGTTTAAATACGTTAAAATTTCTAGGAAGCCGTATATGTTGGACTGTACTTCATATGCGAGGTAAGTTCTATCGAAATAACTTTTGACCAATTTTTATTTCAATATGTCAGCAAAATTTTACAAGAGAGCATTGGATCCTAAAAAAATATGAAAGTGATGGATTATTATATTATGTCATGTGACTAGAAAATTACAATCGAGCCATTCTTGAACATATAATTACATCGGAATTCAATGCGAATGATTAGGTACTTTGAAAGTAAATTGTCAAAGGAAAACGAGTTTTATAAGTATATAGCGGAAATAATTTACAGACATCGTTTACACATATGTGACTTATTACTAATTTCTGGGATTAGTTTTTAATAGAATGATTTTGAAACCGGGCACAATAAAATTTGTTGTGCCGTTAAATAATGTTTTCATTGCACCTAATAATTATTCCTTTTCTACGCCTTACTAAGATTTAATAGCATGAATAATAATTTTGATAGTGTAATCATAATTATACTTCATTTTTAGTAGGCTAGGTTTATCGTGAATTGCAGGTGGCTTCAAGAAATTTTCCGTTATATATATATCAGAAAGTACGTCAATTCTAACGAGAAACTTACGTTTTCTGTTACATAAAATTTCCGATGAAATATTGGCTACAGGGGGATCATTTAATTCAACAATACGTAGTACGGATATAAATTGCTTAGAAGGTTGACGTTACAAATTTGACGTCTGTCAGCTGACAGAATGACATAATATGTTATGTGTGCAGTAGTACCACCTATACTCACTGCTTTCATAGCCAACTCTAACCCGTTTTGTTTTTGACTGCAAATCGAAACGATAACGGAAACAAAATAACAATCTAAAACCAAAGTTGAAAATATGGCGACAAATCTCTGAAATAGTCCTCAACAAGATGGAACTAAGGAAAACATAAACTAAGCGTTAGTGTATATGGTACGTTGTTTAATAATTCAAGCGAGCCTACTTCCGTCATCTTATGCAGAAACTGTGAATAGAGCGAATTACAATACAAATCGTTGCTCAACACATAAGTAACTGACAATGGGTGGTTATTTTAAGATTTTGGACACGTCCATTACGTGTTGATAAGAATCTGAATAGGACGATTCGATTCCAGGCTAAAAAAATATTTTTGGGCCACTGTGACCAAAGGCAAAAATATAATTCCAAATAAGAAAATAATTGAAGAGCCAACTTTTTCATCACAACGTACAGCGTACAACAAATGATTATATTTTTATTACAGGAAGAGAGAAAATAAAAGGCCGGGAGTGTTCAAATGAAGAAACAAGTATAATTCAAAAACGTTTGGTATTTGTAACAAATATGGTGGTACAGCTCATTTGGAATCGAGAGAAATTATTTAATTAATCAATTAAGTCTGGTACTGATTGTAACGGAACATTTCCTGCAGTCGTTATACATGAACAATCAGATCGTTGGCTTTGTCTGCTCCGCAATATACAAAAAATGAGCTAAATGTTAACGCTTTGTTTGAGGATACCGACAAAGAAGTTTTTACAACACCACTCCTGATGTTAGAAGAAGTAGCTCCTTCGATGCAACCTGCTTTTGCTTATCTGATTTCCCACAAAAAAAATTGACAATATTTTTCTATCGAGTTTTGCAAGCTGAAAACAGTAGTAAAACCGCGTTCCGAAATTTCCATCAATAATTGAGATATTGATTTTTAAAAGATACGTGATGAAAATTTTGCACATAATTCAAAAAAATTAGTCGAACATTATTTCGCCAGAACTTCCCTCGCCCATAAAGTACGGTACATCAAATCTAATTATTTTGAAAAATGAAAACATTTGATTTTGGGAATAGTATTTTTTCATGACAACCATAAAGATAGTAGTAATGTTCAAGTAAGAGTAAAGCAACGTGCTACCCGATTGTTTCCAGTGAGTTTTCCATTACAAAATTTTGCGATGACGTCATCAACAATTTTGCAAAGACACTTACATCAGTTTGGATAGATGTAGTGTAATACTAAAAATAAAAGTACTGTATTCTCGAATTTTCGGGAAAATGAATTGGGTCGTCTTGATCTTGAATATTGATTTATAATCAATAAAATAACGAAACAGATTACTTACGTATGCCGCGTGTATCAGCAGTCACCCTGTATATGCAAATCCAAAAAATATGAATGGAATGATAAATCACAAGTATTGTCTCATCAATTTTTTGGAGGGGACAAGTAAATATATTTTGATTAAAAATTTATCATGCTTATCATAACTGTAAATCATCTGCAAGATGTCAAAGCAGATTCCAAATTAAATTCCAAAATGTTGTTTCATAATTTTGTTTTTTGCTTTTCAAAAATCTGGACGTTTCGGGTAAAAACTCAATTCGGAATCATGTGTAGGACTATGTTATTTTATACAATTTAAAACCCATTTATTATGTACAATTTTGAAGTGAATTTAGTGGTGGCGATGATTAGACAAATTTTGCTTAGCGTTTTACCATCTACATGATATTCCTAATATAAATACAAAATTTGACAACAATCGGCCCAGTACTTTCGGAGATTATCTGACAGACGGACAGACAGACACACGGACAGGCGAGAGTCGGCCGACGGACTCGATTACAATACTTCCTTTGCTTACGCTTGGGAAGTAAAAAAACAAAAGATTAACTTTGACAACACAAATTTTCTATTATAGTATAGTTTTTTGGCGAGTTTGATAAATCAAGTGAATCGCAGTTTGTATCCACCAGTGGTTGAGTTATAATTGGTGGTCGTACTCTGGTACGCTAGATCATGGAAATGAGCTTTGAACAATTTTACGATCAATCGAACACATAAAATACAATGGGATTTATGTTGTAAAATTTTACTGTAAATTGGAAATTTTCAAGAGGTTGCTAAGACAATCCATTTACTAAATATAAATAACTGTTTAGTACCTCAACGAAATCGCCAAACAGTGCTCAAATTTAAAATGTATTTAATGCAACTATTTAAAGCTAACTTTATATATTATTTACTTTGACTCACAGTAAAGTCAGTACACTTACTCTGTATAAGTCCATCTAAAAATAAATATCGCCATATTATCGTCATAACAACGCAATGTGAGTAATTTAATTATACTAATTGAAATTAAGCTTAGTCAGTTTAATCTGTTTTGTCTTTTACGACCTCTACACAAAAAAAGATTGGCACCACTCTATACAAGGATATCGCTGGCACTAACGCCGATACATATTTTTTTTTTTGTAGATTGTAAGTTCGCCAAAAGCTGTATTTCTGAATTTATGAAATTTTTTACCTTTTCCGGAGCACTTTCGGAAATATATATTATTTTGTTTATTTTAACCTCCAAGTCATGGACTGGGACTATCAAAACGATATACTTTTCGATTCAGCTCTTCGAGATCTACATCCCACGATTTTTCGTGAATGTTTGACAACTTCACCAAAAGTTCAATGGTGCAGTTTTTTCGAACACCCTCGAAAAGTACCAAGAGATTATTTTGTTGATTTGCCCCCCCTAGAAGTTTTTTCGGCCTCATTTCTCCAAAAATTCCTAATATTAACGCTATGATTTTAGATTCAACTCGGCGAGATCTACGAGTACATCCTATATTTTTTTCTATATTTTTAGACAAATTGGTCAAAAGGTCAATTTTTGAATCCATGAAATTTTTGACCTTTTCGGAAGACCTTAGGAAATAACTAAATTATATTATTTTGACCTCCATAAGTGTGTTACGGCTTCATTTCTTCGAAAACTCTTAATCTTTTTTCAGAAATGCCATAATAAAATACATATAACAATTTTTGGGATATTCAAAAAATGACATTCTGAACCCGAATGTTTCCAAAATCTTGTTCTAGGACTATCAACATTTTTCGAATCAGCTCTTGGAAATCTATATCCCACAATTTTTCGTAAATTTTACATCCCTGATCTTTTTGTAGATTTTTTAAACAAGTTCACCGAAAGCTCTATTTTTGAATTTACGAAATTTTTTACTTTTTCTGAAGCACCTTCGAAAATTACCAAAATATATTATTTTATTTATTTTAACCTGCGTAAGTGCTTTACGGCTTCATTTCTTGGAAAATTCTTTTTTTCCAGAATCGCCAAAATAAAATATAGCAAATTTTGAAACATTAGAAAAATCACATTTTAAAGCCCAATATTTCCAAAATTCCACAATTTTTTGTGAATTTTTGGCAAGTTCGCCAAAAGTTTAATTTTTTAGTATCTAACCCACATACGAAAATATTGCAGTTTTTCAGAGCACTTTGGAAAACTAACAAAAGAGACTCTTGTTGATCTGGCCCTCTAGAAGTTTTTTCAGCTTCATTTCTCCAAAAATTCGTAATAACTTCCACAATCATTAAAACGAAATATGACAATTTTTCCAATATTTCAAAAATCAAAATATGAACTCTAATATTTCGAAAATCTTGGTCCGATACCATCAATCGCTATATTTTTCGATTTAACTCGTCGAAATCTACATCCCTGATTTTTTTGTAGACTTTTAGAAAAGTTCGCCAAACGCTCCATTTTTGAAGATGAAATTTTTTACTTTTTCCGAAGCACCTTCGAAAATTACCAAAACATACTATTTTGTTCATTTTAACCTGCATATATGTTCTACGGCGTCAGTTCTTCGAAAATTCTTTTTTTTCCGGAATCGCCAAAATTAAATATAACAACTTTTGGCATATTTGAAAAATTACATTTTCAACCCGAATATTTCCAAAATCTTGGTCTGAGACTATCAACACGATATATTTTTCAATTCAGCTCTTGGAAATCTATATCCTACAATTTTTAGTGAATTTTTGGCAACTTTTCAGGACCCAGCCTTTACATGAAAATGTTCTAGTTTGTTCAAGCATCCTGGAAAACTACCAAAAGAGATTCTTTTGTTGATTTGGACCTCTAGAAGTTTTTTTTGGCTTCATTTCTCCATAAATTCGTAATATTTTCCACAATCGTTAAAATGAAATGGGTATGAATGAAATATGAGTTTTTGAAATTTTTTAAAAAACA